CTTTCATTTGAGTACCCACATGCATTTTTGATATATTTTTCATATATACATATAATATAATATATATATAAAATATATAAAATATATGAAAAATTGATGTGGGTACTTAAATGAAAGGTCTTGATGAGTGTAACATCGGGATGAGCTTATATCTTTAAAAATTTCAATAGTTCACGAGATATAAGGTTATTTCTTAATTATGTATCTAGATACCAAATTCAACCATAAAAACCTATTTTATCATATAAATACGCTGGCCACAAAATGTTGCTTATTCTCTTAATAATGTAGATAATAATAATAATAAAAAAATAATAATAATGATAAAAGCAGTGGGAATGGAAGCAGAAGTATAAATATAAATGTAAATTGTAATAATAGTAATGGAATTTCACGGGAAACAATCGAATTTTATTCCTGACATTTCCCTATTTAGCGTGGAATGTTCTCCTCCAGCGGAGTGTATCAGGAAGCCATAGTATTGCACCCGTGCTATATGTATTCGCGTTTAATTTCCGGTCATTTCATCCATTTGGTTTTACAAGTGACTTGCATAACTAGACGACATCAACGATGACATTACCGAGGGGATAAAGAGCCAGGAAAAGTCACCGCGGTTAATTTAGCCAGCTTCCATTCTTGCTTATACAACACTAGTCACTAGTGCTAACAACTTTAATTAACGATTGCTATTTATCAAATGCGCAGAAACAGTAGGATTCCATCAGCAGATTCGATTCCACAGCAGGTGGATGCTACAATTCGTCACAGTGCCTCCGCAACCGCACTATCAACTCACGCTGGTCAGCAGATGACCAAGCAGACTCTTAATGCGCTGAGTGCAGTACCGAGGACTCGTATTGTTAAAAATGATCAGTGGGTTCAACGGAGGAAGAGCGACGGCCCGCGAGTTATTAGTCAAGATTTAAATTACCAACATTGGCTTATTCAAGTGAGTTTACATTTTATTTTATTTTAAATTTTAATAAATTAAGTAGTTGTGCAATTAGCAATTATAAAAGAGTTTTACTAGTTACTTTTTTTTATTACTGTGTATATTTTTTATTAGGAGGCTGAACAGAGGAGAATTAATGAGAAAAACCAACGCTCACCCCCACAAAGAAAACCGCAGCAACACGTGACTGGAACTTCCGTACCTTATACTGCTTCAACTACTTCATATAAATCTGAAGGGAAACCATTACCGGATTCTATAATTCAAACGCTTACTCAGAGAATACAAAATAGAGCACAAGAGAGACCTTTGCCTTTAAGACGAAGGTATTTATTTATTTATTATTTCATCAAGAAGATGATTGGTAATTATTTATAAGTCCGGTCCGCCTTATTTTTGGCCATATTTAGGTAAAAAAATTAACATTTTTTTTTCTACTTGTTTTTACGGTGCATTTATGATAAAAAATATCGTAAAAGAAAAAAATAAAAATTTCAATAGATTTTTTGCCTTCAAGTTGGAAAAAATTTTGGCTCTCATGTTTTTAGATAAAATTTATACTTTATCTTTTTTTTTATAGATTTTTTTTTGAAAAGTACAAAAAAAAACGAACAGTTAAAAAAAAAAGTTGAATATCAATTTTTTTTTTTTTAATTTATAAATTTTTTTGAAAATTTACTGAAATTGTGATTATCAACTTTTTCTTTTAATTGTTCATTTTTTTATATATTTAAAAAAAAAATATACCAATAAAATCAAATAGCAATTTCGTTCAAAAAAATAAAAATACTGAACCCGACTTATAAATAATTACCAGATGATTTACAATGAATGATAATTTAAAAACAAGTAAAACTATTTGCTTTTAAGGATCGATCACAGCGTTAGCCAGGAACACTTGCCTCAAGCGCATCACCAGCCGTCAGCACATCTCGCTATGATGCATCAGAAAGCACATCAATCACCCGGAACATCGAGCGCGGACTCGCAGGAAAAATTGCTGAGTGTCAGTGGAAAGAAAAAATGTTCCCACTGCGGCGATGAATTAGGTACTATTATAATATATTATTAAACATATATTAGATTTTATTCCATAAAATTGTTGTTTATTGCTGACGACTAACAAGTAAGAGTAATAAAATTTTATTGACCTGCTATTTATTTGTTATTTTTATTAGGAAGAGGAGCTGCGATGATTATAGAAAGTTTGCGGCTCTTCTATCACATGGAGTGCTTCAAATGTTGTGTGTGTCACGTGCGTCTCGGCGACGGGCTTATGGGGACGGACGTACGCGTTCGTAATCATAAACTTCATTGTCATAATTGCTACTCGAGCGATGACGGTAGTTATTATTATTAATTTTGCTATTTATTTTCGATTAAGGGGCACAATCAGTGTTACAGTTTAAAAAAAAGGCGATTTTTAGGAATTGAAATAAAAAAAACTTCTCTATGAATTACAAAATAATAATAAATAATAATAATTTCAGAAAAAAAAAATTACTCAGAATAAAAATAATTTTCATAAAAAATTTCTTAAACAAAATAAAATTTGTTTCATACCGTAAGATGGACGGTGGAGGTCATAAGAAGGTCCACATTTACATATTAATTGTTTTAAAATTTTAAAGGTATATTAATATATATTTTATGAATAGAAATTACTTCACGAATAGAAAGTACTTCAATCTAAATATTTTTAAGAAAAAATATTTGAAATTAAGGTCTAAAAGAAATGCAGCAATACTAAAAAAAATCAGGTATAAAAATTTTGCAGTTACTGTGTTTTAAAATTGGGTAGCCGATTTGTCTTCCAGTAATCACTTCAATAAATTTGAAAAATGCTGTTTCGAGAAAAACGCGTTTAAAGATAAAAAAATCCTATTCTAACTGCCGAGAGGCTACTCTTTAAATAGCTGTAACTCAACAACTAATTGAAATATTGATTTGAAATTTTAATATGTTATTTTTGAAGGTATAAACTATCGAAATCTAAAAAATCGATTTTTTGAAAATTTCACACTGGTTGTGCTCTTTAATTATTTTATTTAAATAATTTATTTATGTTTTTATTTCAGGCGTCAAGTTCAGTTGCGTGTAAAAATATTTTAATCCAATGAAATATTTGCCATTACTCTGATACGTCTGTAAATAAAAAAAAAAAAAAAAAAAAAAAAAAAACGAGTGTGCCACGAGGAGTCTAAGAGTTTAAAGTAGTTAAAATGTTAATTTAAAAATAGCCATATCCCAACATCATATGGGTATTTAAAAATACAAATAATCTCCTTGGCTGTCACGTGTACATACAAGTGTGTATTTATGTAATTAAATTTTAAGCACTAGCGTTAACTTAATTAAAAAATATTGAAGTAATTATAAACTGCAAGTAGTGGAAGATATTAATTATATCAACATCTTGTTTCAGTAATTAAATGTGTGTTGTGTAAATTATTGTATTATAGGATGTGTAATATTTATGAAATTAAGAAGCCTATACTACGTACTGTGTACTGTGTTCGAGCTAAGCCATCTCGTACAGCTTTTTAAAAAAATTAATTGGGCTTTTATAAACCTCAATTAATATATATATTTTATTTTTTGTTCATTTATATTTTATTATAATTTTTTTTTTCTCAAAAAAAAAAAAGTTTATTATTGTTTCCTCTTTTAAATTTGTTATAAACATATAAATACATCTACATATACATTTTAATAAACTTCTTATTAATTATAAATGTAAAAGAAATAAAATTACAATGGAAAATATGTAATATCTCTTCTGAACCGTTCAGCGAAACGGAGTACAGATAATCTACAATTTCAATTTATAAAAAAAAAAAAAGTACTATAATAAATTACTAGCGTCAGTAATTCCTTTAAGAATCATCATCACGTACTGTGAAATATTGTATAATATAATATAGTTTTATGTTATTGAAAAATGTAATTCATATTATCTTTTAAAATAAATGTTCATTATAATTAAAAAAAAAAAAAATCCTAACATAAACGGCTACTTTATTATATTTATTATTAATGGGTATTTTATTTTATCCAATAAAATACGCTTTAGTAATCACATTCATTTTCAATAAATTTAAAAATCCCTCGATTGCAGGTACCTGAATTACAGGGAGACTTAATAGCTGGTAAATTGATTCAGTAATTTAAATTTCCGTTACACAGCGACACTTATAATCATCTGAAATATTTTTAGAAAACTCATCTACTAAAGGGGACTAAAAATAGTCTACTAGAATCTTCCCAGTTAAGTGTTTTATCAAAGAATAGAAGATCGATTATTTCTTACATTTAAGACAAGGTGACAAGGTGACTAAATATTAATATAATATATTTTTATCTTCACACTTAATTAAATTTTCTTCTTATAATTTGTTAAAAGAATTTTTAATAATAGGTCAAACTTAAATAAACCGGGCATCAAACACAAAGTCTTACGATCAATTGATCAATGATGTCATTTAAATAGATCATCGAATTTTAATTTTTTCCAGATACTGCTATTAATAGTTACGCTTGTAGTACAGAGCATCGCACATAGTGTTAAACGGTGCAGAACGATTCACATGTCCAGAGTGTGGGTGTCGGTCCATCGTCGATGGTTTATTCTACATTTACTCAGTCTCTCCTTCGGCGTGAATCTTGTTGCGTCAATTCGCATGTGTTTATTATTTTTTAAGTAAAAATACACTTTTTAAAGAATTCGAAAATATATACTGCAGTATGGTATAATGTAATAATAATAAGATACAGTACAATGCAATGTGGATTATAACGTTATTTCTCATAGTGTAATGTACTCAGTAAATTTCGAACAGATCAGCAGAGCGTAAACTACCGCTAATCCTTGTTCATTGTTTTATCATTACTCATTTTATATATTTTATTTTTAAAGTTAAATAAAATTGTGGATTTTTTTCATTTTTGTTTACTTTTTTTCGGTAATTATTTACAAGTAGACTCGATCCCATTTTGGGCCATTAGGTGAAAAATTAACATTTTTTTTTATTCTACTTGTTTTTACGGCGCATTGATATAAAAATTAATTAAGTAGATATTTAATAATTTTTAGAATTTTTTTTAATAAATAAATTATTGCAAAAAACATTATAAAAAAAAATTGACATTAAGAAATTTGAAAAAATTAAAAATGCAATTTTTTTTTAATAACCTTTTGTTCCAAAAAAATTTATCTATTAAAAAAAGTAAAAAATGGTCAAAAAAATAAAGATTTCGATAGCTTTTTTGCTTTCAAACGTTGAAAAAAATTTTGACTCATATTTTTTGATATATTTTTTTTGAAAATTATAAAAAAAAGTACAATTTAAAAAACAAATTGAATATCACAATTTTTTACAAAATTTATAAATTTTTAAAATTGTAATAATTAACTTGTAATAAAGTTTTAATAATTAACTTTTTTTTGTTTTTAATTGTTCATTTTTTTTATGTATTTAAAATAAAAAAATATCAATAAAATCAAATAGAAATTTCGTTTAAAAAAATGAAAATTAAAATAACTGACCCCACTTGTAAATATTTACCAAATTTTTCTCATAGTAATTTTTTTGTTGAAAAAAAATTAATATATATCTAAAATTTTCAAACTTTAAAAAAACATTTTTTTTCAACAAAAAAAAAAAATACTATAAAAAATTTTGTTCTCATATTTTTGAATAAAATCTCTATTTTAGCTTTTTTTATTTATTTATAAATTTTTTTGAAAATTTAAAAACGTTCTTAGTTTAGAGACTTTTAAAATTAAATTATTTGATTTTCTATTAAGTAATGAATAGTTTGAAATTAGTATGCTGAAAAATATTATAACGAGATGTACATTCTTGTTTTAAATACAATCTGTTTTATATGTTTTAGTAACATTCCAAAATTTATTGTACTTATTTGAACATTATCTATGTATGTGAAGTTTGCCATTTGACTTAATGTCTTGGCATTAAAACTAAATAAAAAAAAATAAAAATCCAATAGAAATTTCGTTTAAAAAAATAAAAATTAAAATAGTTGACTCCACTTGTAAAAACATTTACCTTTTTTTTTACCTTCTAGTTTTGTTGATTAAAATTTTATAAATAAAAAAATGAGTTTGCGGTGGATCCAAGAAAATAAAGAAGCGCCAACATGCGACGAAGAGTCCAGTGATATTGATGACAGTGCTACTGATGACAGTTACGACACCGATGAAGATGAAATAGATAACGAGAATTCTCTCAGTCAACCAAGGAATAAACGCAACTCAACCAGGCATCCAACCACAACGGTGACCTTTGAAAACGGGTTTGTATATTATATATATGTATATAGATCTACTTGCATATTATATTTACGGTTTGTACATCGGCAGATGAAATTAGATTATTAAATAATTTACCAGTGAATTTTCTCTAACGCACGTACCAATTTTAAATAATAATTGACCTATGACTCGTGGATAAGTCACGCGTAATCTAGTAATTGCAATTAATGACTGCCCGAGTGAAATCTACAGGTCAGAACCAATTGATGCATCTGCAAGCATATGTGTGTTAGTCAATTTACATGTTAGATTTAGAATTATAAAAAAAATAATAACAGTGTGTAATTTACCTTTTAATTCTAGAGTTTTATGTAACGGAAAACGCACCGCTGACCTTAATAAACTAATTAAGTTACTCTTGTTCGTAGAATACCAGTCTATAAAACCAATCAAGAGGATAATTCATCGGCTTGTATAGTCTGGGATCCCCGTAATTCTATTCAAAATCCAGCTTATAGATGTCGGCTAATTAAATTGTTCTGTCGCACTGGGTATCATCTCACGGTCTCTCCGGCTGGATTTGTTCGTGGATTAAATGACATTAATGATCAAATTGGTACTGGATTTTTATCTGTTGGGAATAAAATCTATATTGCATTCGAAAATGCTTTATCTCTAGATACATAATTAAAAAATGACTTTGTATCTTGAGAACTATTGACATTTTTAAAGATATAAGCTCATCCCGACATTACACTCATCGAGACCTTTCATTTGAGTACCCACATCACTTTTTCATATATTTATAAATATTACATATATGTATATATGAAAAATATA